GCCAAACAGAAAAACAAAATGTCCTAAAGTTTCACAAAAGAGTACCTGCAGCTTGGTAAGAAGTTTCCAGTGACAGCATCACTCACTGATTCAATAAGTGCAGGATCTGAAACGATTTAGGTGGAAGTGAAGCTGACACGCTCTGGAAAACTCTATTAGATGACTCAGAGTGGCCCGGGGGATGGCGATGACTCGGGCGCCAGAGGCGCGAGAGAAAGCTCGATAAAACTGCTTCATGAAAGGCGAGAAGACAAACAAACCAAGATTATGAAATTAATACATATGAGATTTTAAATATAAATGTGCAGTTAAATTAAACTTACAAAGTAGAATAAAAACTAAGGTGCAGTACTTCCGAAAGGGGTGTCAGATTAAAAATATATATATATACACATATATCCACTGGGTTAAAGAGGAAGTGAGGGATCTACTCCTGTGGGCAGCTGCAGGCTGGGTGCTGCAGAGGAAACAGCCATGGGGAGGCATCTGCCCACCGGGACAGGCGCAGAACCGAGGGCTAGAGGGCAGGCACCGCCCCCTCCACAGGTGAGGGGATGCAGCCCAGAGGGGCCGGTGAGGACCTCACGCTGGCCACCCCCCCACCATGCTGGAGCCCAGTGGTCCCGGCCTTCTGCCCCTGGACCCTACCGCCCAGGCCACCCTTGCCATCTGTCTGGGGGGGTCTAGCTGGCATCCACGGTCCCACAGCACAGCCTCCAACCTCATAGCAGGGGCACACATTAGGGGTTTCCTCGGGAGGGAGAAGTGGCCTTGGGGGGCACTCCCCAGGGAACCAGGCTGGGGAAGGAACAAGAGACACTTCCCACCCAGGTCGGGGGGCAGTGGTCAGCAGAGTCCCCACAAGCACCAGCTGGCCATCGAGGCAAGGAAGCCCATTCCCGCCCACAGGCCCGACCTCGCTGCCTGCTCAGTGCCCTCTCCTCCCCAGAGAAGCAGCAGGAAGGAGCTGTGGACCCAGAGTCAGGAGGTGAGGGCTGCAGCCCCTGCCCTCTGGCCTCAGGGCCCCGCCGGGCAGGCAGGGAAAGGAGGCTGGTCCGAGCCTCCTAATGGCAGCCCCACCCGCCCACCCGCCCGGCACTCTTGCCAGGAGTCATTTTTCTCCCCAGCAGCCGCAGCCCCGACACCCCTGAACTTGTCCTCAGAAACAGGCTATTTTTCCCTCGGTGGTGAAGGATGTCAAGTGATAGGGCCAGTTTAATAAAGGAAGTGATGACCGGGACCCGGTGAGCATCCTTCACCCTCACGCCACCTCCGGCTCCGGCCTCGCAGCCCCCGCTAGCACACTGACAGCAGCCGGCCATCACCCGGGGCACCAGGCATCGCTCCTCAACACTGACAAAGTGCCTAATGCACGATACCCGCCGCGTGCGCACACCAGGGGTGCCACCATAAGCTGGACCCGCGCCCCTGCCCCGCAGTTAACTAAGGGGACGCTGTCCGGGAGGTGACAAACAAGGGCGGTGAGGGAGGAGATTGGGGGGGGATAGGAACACACTGGGAGGGGGGCGCCCCTCTCAGTAGGAAGTGGGTGGGGGGATCCTGGGGAAAAGACAAGCGGGAATTACTCGGTGAAGCCATGCAGGGGAAAGGGGAGGCCCAGGAGGCCCCAGGGGCACTGGAAGCAATCAGGACTCTCCTCGGACAGGAGTCTCTGCGGGGTTTGAAGCAAGACTCGAGTCATCAAGGACGTGGGAGCCCCTCTGTCCACAAGTTCAGCAGCTGCCGTGGAGAAACGGGGCCCGGCTGGCAAGGAACGCTACTCTAGGGGCAGGGTGCACCCCCTATTCTGCGTGTGCAACTGCCTAGCCCCATGCCTGGCACCTAGTGGGTCCCAGTAACTGGAAAGATGCTGTGAGTGTGGACGACAGACAGTGTGGACCAGGCTGCCCGCCAGACGGCTGGGGCTCAGGCGATCACGGTCTAGGATGGGCTTTTGGGGCACACATCCTAGTGTGCAGGATGTGTACACTTAGGGAGGTTGCAGAATGAGAACTGCTAAGGAACTCACTATGATGCCACTGCCTAATCCCGCGCAGAGTCTACGCACGGCGCTTGACGAACGCTGCCTGGGTCCACGCCCGCGCCTGAGGACTTTATTGGCTTCTGACAGCCCCACACGCCCGCCTGAAATATCGCACCAGAGCTCCATTGTCTAAGATTCATGCTTTCTTCAAAGAACTTGGAGCACAAATTTATAACTTGTTGTCAAATAGATGCCCACTGTTCTCTAGAAGGGCAATCCCATTTGGGGAAAAATAGCCAATAACTCTTCCAAGTTGGAAGACCATTCTCGAGTTGATTTCCCCAAGCACGGGGAGAAGAAAGGCAAAGCAAAGTGTAATTGCAGAAACAATAACCCTATAGACATAACCCAATATCTTCCCCACACTGACTTTTCAATAATTTTGTGATGGATTCTCCCAGAAAGCTTAATTTGTACTTTTAACCACAAGAGTTAGTGGGCCAGAAAAAATTAATTCCCAGTACTGGCTCACAGAGAGAGAAATAAAGGCCTGTCTATTAATTTTTTTAAACCACCCCATGCGAAGCCCCGGAACGCGTACGCGAGGTGACACCGTGCGGAGAATAACCGGGACCTGCTTTGTGCTGATACCGATCCACTTTGGGGTGGACATGTCAGCCCAGGCCCCAAGCAAGCTCGAGGTCGAACCCTGGCCCCATTCAACAGCCCTGGGCTCGTGTTGAACGTTCCTTCCCCCCAGGCTGCACGCCGGGCCGAAAGGAAGCTGAAATTGTTTTAATTCTGCCCTGGGCTCATTACTGGCAACAGCTTTAGTAAACAGTCCGCACATTTCAGCCGGGGAACAATGTTAGATTAACAAAGACCCCTGAAATGAAGCCTGTCATTTTCGAGAAGTCTTTTTAAAACAAAAACCTGCCAAGGCCTTCATACAGCCTGCCGAGTGCGCGTCAATACGGGTGATCTCAGCGTCGCCGGTTTGTGACAGCACTTCCTAATGGGTTTCAGAGAGGCGAGCCGGGCTGCCAGGGACAGTTACCGTGAAATACACGAGCCAGGTTTCAGCTCTGGTACCATTCCCCCATCAAGCCTCGAATCATCAACACAAGAGGACAGAGAGGGTGGGGAGTTCTGGAACCTGGCCGATGTGAGTCCAAATCCTGGTCTCCCCAGTTTTAGCTGTGCACCCCCCGGCAACACGTGTATATCTGCCCAACCACCAAGCAGAGGGTGAGGGTCAGTCCCTGGGGAGCACAGGCAGGAGGGGCAGGTGTGAGGGCGAGGCGGTGCCCCGCTGGGCCTCAGTTTCCCCACCAGCACGATGACACGAGTCAACTCTTGCTGTGTCCCTGCGAGGTGCCTGGCAGAGCCTGATCCCTCATAGGTGCACTCCAGGTGGTGACAGCGTCAGCTGCTGCTAGGAGGGACCCGGGATCAGCCCAACCCCCAATCTCACAGACTAGGGAACCGAGACCCAACCCCGAATCTCACGGACTAGGGGACCAAGACCCAACCCTTAATCTCACGGACTAGGGGACCGAGACCAGCCCCCAATCTCACGGACTAGGGAACCGAGACCAACCCCCAATCTCACAGACGAGGTGACCAAGACCCAACCCCCAATCTCACGGACTAGGGAATGAGACCCCAGGTAGGAGGGCTATCCCAGAGCCTGGGTTCCAGGCTCCTGGGTGTAGGATGGGAGTGGGGGGAGAAGGGGCGCCTTCGAGACCCACAGGAGGTTGGGACCCTTGACAAAGCACAGGCAAGGCTCACCATGGTCATCAAATAAGGAAGCCCTGGCATCAGTGGTAGGTCCCCAATAAATAAGGACACACCCCGCTAGCACTCCTTAAACAAATGAGGTCTCGGTGTAATTAGGATTGCAGGCACCCGTATTTGCTTCGGCGAGATGCAAACTGTTAGGCTGTGAACAAACCTGTCACGGAAACAGAGCTAAGGCCCTGCCCTTGTTAGACTCTTGCCGGCACCTAGAATGTGGCGTGAAAACTCCACGGGCTCTGAAACTCGGCTCCCCAGAAGTGGGGTGGTCTTGGGAGTGCCTGGGCCTGGAGGCCCCCACCCCACCAGCCTAGGAGGCCTTGCCAAATAGCCTCGGATGACCCAGCGGCTCCATGAAGGTGCAAATGAACCACCCCAAAGCCTCTTCCCCCTGAAAAAAACAGACAATGGATTCTCCATCTACACACACACTTGGTTGGTATGGGGCGAGCCCGGGGACACCGGCATTGACAGGCCGGGCTATTCGCCCTGTTCTGGGAAGTGACACCCGTCAGTGACCTCCCCAGGACCAGCGTGGCGCTGGGCCAGGACAGGAGCCCCCCGCCGCAGCGTCTGGATGGCAAGGCACCCGTGGCGCAGGAGGACACGCTGCAGGCACCCCGTCACGCTGCAGGCACCCCGTCTAGAAGCTTCGGGAGGCAGCGCGCACCGCTCAGCAGGGGCCCTGGTGTGGACGCAGAGGACCTGGGTGGCGCTAGGCGCACAGGTGAGGTCTCCCGTCCAGCACAGAGGCCCTGGTTCTGAACACAGATAAAAAGCAGCGTCGCGCCCCTCAGGACAGAGGCAGGGAAGACCATGTGCCCTGGCTAGCCGTGGACAGAGTGTTCAGCCAGAACCTGATTAATTAAAAAGTAGCCAGAAGTTCGCTTTTTAAGGAAGGCTTATGAATTCATTTTAAAACTTGTGATTCAGATGTGGCTGTTTTTCCAGACATTCTTGTGAGAAGCCAGTAGGTTGGACTGATCATTACAATAATCGAGCATTCAGAATTACTTGGTTCAGTGAGTAACTGGTGAATGCTCCCAGGTGTCAGGCTTTCTGGAGGTGATGGATGCCGTCTGTAAGCTCCCAGAGCTGTTAAGCAAGGTGTGATTGAGGGGTGAGGTGCCAGGCAGCCTGGGGATGACCCCAACCCAGCCCAGGGGTCCCAGGGAGTCTTCCAACCCAGCCCGGGGGTCCCGGTAAGCCTCCTAACCTGGGGCCTGCCAACTCCAACAGCACCCGGTCCCAGGAGGCCTTCTCCCCGGAAGCTTCCTGCACACGCTGCTCTAGCGAGAGACAAGGGTGGGGGGTGGGGGGGAGAAACGGTACCAGAAGTAATTAAATGACCGAGGAGACAGCAAGACTCGAAGACAGACACGTATTGGCATCATTTCTTATTACTATTATTGTGATAACACATAGCAAGAACAGGACTCCCAGACAAGGAGAAAGCAAGCTTCGGGGCATTTTTAAATTGGGCAAATTATAGAGAGGTGAGAGATTAAATGAAAATCCATCACATTACAAATACAGCCTGCAGTTACTGAAATCATATTTTTTTCATAAGTGAGTCATACCAATAATAACTCCAAGGTCTTCATAATAGTTTGCAATAAACTCTGTGGGATACTCACCACTTCCCTTTTGAAAAACTGACATCATAAGCCAAAAAAAATAGCACTTAGACGTTTCTGTCTTCTTTAGGGCAACCAGCTGGGAAAGGGAATACGACACTTCCCAGGGGGCAGCGTGGGGCTCGGCCTCACCCCTGGACAGGCAAATTAAAACAACCAGATCTTATTTCACACCCACCAGAGGGGCAAAAATCAAAATCCCCAGCACCAAGAGTTGGAGAGGGTGTGAAGAAATGGAATTCTCAAGTACTGCGGTGGCGTCAGGAGAACAAACACCCAGGTCAGCAGACCGGCCATGTCGGGGTGGCTTAAAGGGGACGCACACCGAGGCCCGTCAGCACACCTGGGGCCCGAGAACTTCTCCCAGGTGCACAGAAGAACAGCTGAGACCGTTGGCTGTGAAACAGCTCTAAACACTGGGACGCTTGTCCCATTAAAAGTGAACATGTTAGCTGCTCAGTCATGGCCGGCTCTTTGCAACGCCATGGACTGTAGCCCGTCAGGCTCCTCTGTCCCTGGAACTCTCCAGGCCAGAACACTGCAGTGGGCTGCCATCCCCTTCTCCAGGGGGTCTTCCCGATCCAGGGACTGAAGCCGGGTCTCCCGTACTGCACCAGCTTCCCTGGAGGCTCAGACAGTAAAGAACGTGCCCACAGTGTGGGAAACCCAGGTTCGATTCCTGGGTTGGAAAGATCCCCTGGAGAAGGAAATGGCAAACCGCTCCAGTATTCTTGCCTGGGAAATCCCGTGGATGGAGGAGCCTAGCAGGCTACAGCCCATGGAGGCCCAAAGAGTCGGACACGACTGAAGCGACTTCACTTTCACTTTCTTTCACTCCTGCATTGCAGGCAGATTCTTTACCATCTGAGCTATCTGGGAAGCCCCATTAAAGAGGAAGCCTAATCCCCCTGAACAGGAGCCAGTCCTGGTGACTTGCTTCTGGTGAACAAAAGGCAGCAAACAGCGGGCAGCAAACTGTGTCTGACTTCCAAGGCAAAGTCATAAAAGCCACCTGGTTTGGGCCTGGCTCTTTGGTGCACAGAACCTGACGCCACGTTGCAAGGAAGCCGAGCCCATCTGGGGCAGTCACGCGTGGTGCTCCAGGGGCCAGTACATCAGGGGCCCGGCAGGGCAGCCAGGGGCCATCCTCGGGCGCATGAGTGAACAGCCCTCAGAGGGTGTCACCCCACACGACACCTAGCAGAGGAGAGAGGAGCTCTCCCCAGTGAGCCTGGCCCAAAGTGCAGATTCATAAGCAAAATGAATGTTACTGTTTTAAGGCTACTAAGTTTGGAGGTGCATTATTACACAGGAGTGGATGACTGCAACAGGTTCACAGAAATACTGTTTGCTGAGAGATAAAGAGAGGAAACCTTCCATGAGTAGGGAAAATGAAAAAACAAACTCTAGTTTATTTCATCTGGTGGAATACTACACAGCAGTTAAAAGTGAATAATCTAGACAAACACACAGATGTGTGTTTGTGTGTGTGTCTCTCTGTGTGTGCATGTGTATGGAAAAACTGCAAAAACATAATATTTTAAATGCTTCACAAATTACAAAAGGATAAAGAGTGTGGTCACAGTTCTCTAAATCTTTAAAGCACAAAGCCAATATTACATACTGTTTATGGATAAATACATGTAGTAAGGTTCAAAAGCGAACCCACCAACCTCAGGAGAGGGAGGCTGGGCTTCGGCTACGTCAGTAACACTTGCTGTTTGGTCACTCAGCTGTGTCTGACCCTTTGCTGCGGCCAGCCAGGCTCCTCCGACCATGGGATTCTCCAGGCAAGGATACAGGAGGGGGTTGCCATTTCCTTCTTCGGGGATCTTCCTGACCCAGGGATCAAACCTGTGCCTCTTGCATTGGCAGACAGACTCTTTATCGCTGAGCCACAGGGAAGCCCTCAGTAATAATTTACTCTTTACAAAATAAAAAGAGGGACCCAACGCAAACATTGCAAAATGTCAGTAACAGTTAAACCTGGTGGGGGCGGGGTTCGTGTGGGTCTTTTATTAATTTTCTGGAGAAGGGAGCGGGTCACAAAGTGCTCATTTCCACACTTGGCCTGGTTTACCCGGTGATAACAGGGTGATGGCCTCTCTGCCTGATTCCTCCCCTCTCCCAGGAGCTCCCCGAGGCAAGTCTTGTGCTAGCGATCACCACTGCACACAGCGGGTGCTCAACAGACTCCCTTTGGCCAGATCAACTGGAGGAACCGATAGGCCCCGGGAGGGGTGCGGCCCGCCTCTGGTGCTCGGGAGCCAAGCAGAGAGCAAAGGAGACCTGCTCCCCCAAGGGGCCCGGCAGGCCTCAAGACACGGGATGCAAGACCAGCCCGCCAAACCGGAAGATGAGCCCCTTCCCAGGCCTGAGGCGCACAGCGCCCCCTCCTCCACCTGGACGCGGTGAAGATTTCAGCTGTGGCCAAACGGTATGTCACCAACACAGACAGCTGCAAAGGCGAGATGTGCAGGAAAAAGCGGCAAATGTCTCATTGTAATAACAGCCCAAATGCAGGAGACAGCCTGTCTGAGCAGTAGAAGCAGGCGGAAGTCAAAGACTCCTCCCATGGAAGTGGCGGGCAAGCCTGCGGCCAGGCCCGCAGGAAGCTGCCATGTGGGAAACCTGAGCGGAGGACAAGGGATGGGGGTGCGGACAGAGGCCAGGCCACCGAGGACCGTGGGCAGAAGAGAACAGGAGGCGTCTCCAGGGAACCAGCCAGGGAACCCCCTCGAATGTTTGTCCCGAGTCACACGTCTTCACCAGGGGGCTTCCTATGACTTGCAGTCCAGGGCACTCCTAGTCGACACAGTGCGAACTCCATGTAAGGGGACGACTGGTCATCTTTATTTGCCTTTTCTTCCCTTTTCCTATTTTCCAAATTTGGCTCAGATGGTAAAGAATCTGCCTGCAATGCAGGAGACCCGGGTTCAATTCCTGGGTCAGGACGATCCCCTGGAGAAGAGAATGGCAGCCCACTTCAGTATGTTTGCCTGGAGAATCCCATGGACAGAGGAGCCCGGTGGGCTACAGTTTGTGGGGTTGCAAAGAGTCAGACACGACTGAGCAACTAACACACACACACACGTTACCATCGTAGGAAAATGTTTACATTTTTCTTTAAGTTGATCTGAGTCTTGGCTAGTAATTCCAGCCCTAGCAATCAAGCCTAAGAAAATAACTACACAGAAGCTAAATATTATGTACATAAAGATGATCATTGCAGCCATGCCTATAAAACAATAAAAAACCTGCTGGAACAAACCTCAATGTTCAGCAATAGGGACACAATCTAGTAAATTGTGGTGCAACCACATGAAAGAAGATGACTATTCTGAAGGCTATAAAAATAGGGAGAGACATTAAGCTTTAGGAACAGGATCCAAAATGATATATGAATAATGCCTACAGAACTGTAGCAAAACTGTTCACAGGGGAAAGGGAAAACACAAAACCCAGGTTATTTGCTGTGGGCAGTGACCGCCAAGGCAGCAGAAGGAAGTGAGAAGAAGGGGAACAGCCAGGGCCTGACGCCATAAGCGGGGTGCAGGGGGGTCAAGGGGGAGTGTGGAGGTAGGAACAGCCGGCTGGCCCAGAAGGTGGCAGCCCCAGGTCACCAGGGGCCATCAGAGGTCCGGGCAACACAGTCAGATGAGGGAGGCTCTCATGGGATTCAGTGGGTGCTGCCCCCCTGCCCAGGGATATCCTCATGGAACCCCAGGGCACAGGGCCATCTGATAAGAAGAGCTCGGGAGGAAGTTCAGGGCAAAGGCTCGCATACTTGAAATTCCTCAGCAAAAAAAGTTTCCCCCTAACTTCAGACGTGCACGTTCCCTGAGAACTGGGTGCAGGAAGAGTTTCTGAGCGTCGACCTCCCTGGTTCCAGACACAAGGCCTCGGCAGCAGACGTGACCCAGTTTGCCTTGGCGTGCCAAGTTAGATGGGGGGCTCCACCTCTTTACCTGAGATCTTCTCCAGCTATAAAAAAAAAAAACCACTCTGGATGTCAGGGTCTGAAATGACGTGCTCACAATTATAAGTATTATATTCGTGTGGATGACTGTAAAACTCCACCTCGGCTTGCTAAATGAAAACACCAGGCTGCCAAACCTTCTTGAAGAAATTAAACTGTTAATGTGTTAAAGACTATTACAGCCCCAAAGACATTACCATAGAATTCTCCCCCCCCATTTCAACAAGGCAAGATGCTGGACTATATTGGAAACCTCTGTGAATTGCCTAATTATAGTTAATAAGGTCATCATCTTCCCATGAAATAGCCTTTTCTGCTTTCCAACAGAGCTTTCGACAATTCTAAGAACTGTTTCATTTGAAGGCTCCCTAAGAAGGCGATCACATTACAGGGCAGACGGCGGAGAGAGGCAAGAGGCGAGGCCCCGGGAGGTCAGAGAGAGCGCCCCCATGGAGAGGGGAACACAGCTGTCCTGGAGGTTGGCCTTTCAGGCCCGGCGTCCCACGTGAGAAACAGGGGTGAGGGGACGGCGTTCACTGGAGCTGTGGGCGTGGGGACCACTCCCCAGCCTGCCCTGCTGTTGTGGGCAATGTGGTGACCCCAGGGCTGTCCAGGATCCCACCCCCGGCCCCGCCTCGGCACATGCCTGCCCTTGACGCTGGTGGCTCAGATGACGGCACCGTTGCTCAACGCTGTCCTTTTTAATAGATGCTGGGAAGTGGGAAAGTGAATGCAGAGCTGTCACCGTGTGCATAATGTACAAACTCATGGGCAGTGAGGAGGTCAGTAACGACCTTCGTGCCAACCTAAAAGTAACACGCGCGGAGTTTGAGTGTCCAGGCCCGGTGTGGGAGAAGGTCACCGTGACAGGGATGACGGAAGGTGGACAGCAGGGACCAGGAACAGCTCAGGGTCACTCCTGCGGCGGCCCGGGGGGATGTCAGGTGGAAAAAGCGACGGCGGCTCGCTGTCTGCCGCCCAGACAGACCGGGCAGCGCAAGGCAAGGCTCATGCTTCAGCCTGGCCCGCCGGGGCGGCCGGCCCGAGGCTCGGTCTCTAGCGCCCCTGCCGGCGAGCTGAGGGACTGCACAGCGCTCCTCGCGGCGGGAGGGGGATGCTCGCCTCCGCCTCGGGAGGGGGCAGGGCCGGGGTTGGGCCTGCCGGAGGCAGCAGCAGCGCCGGAGCCGCTCATCCGGGTGGGTAAGAAAGAGCCTGGCTCCAAATCTGGCTCCTTTTCCGCAGGCCTGAGGTCCTCTGCCCCCAACTCGCTGGGTGATGGGAGACTGAGGGCTCTGAAGCCCCCAGGGTGCTAAGAGTCCTGCTAAAAACACTCCTCGCTCAGCTGGTGTGGGCACGGGCCAGGCCAGGGAGA